GTATGTGAAACAATCTTAAAATTTAAGTGACCTAATATATAATGTTATAACTTCTACAAACTTAAAATTTGAGAATTATTAGCCCTAGTCATTCATGTAACATAATTAGAAATAAAAAAACAACTTTTCATAGAATAAAAACATAGATATCATGTCTTAACTTTAGGAAGGAAGAAATTGATCAGTCTTACCATACCAGCTCACCCAAAAACATAGACCAGCACATGTATTATTTTTTATTGATTATTTATTTATTATAGTGTGCTGACGTTCAATCTAATAAAAAAAAGTTAATGTGTATTGGAAAAAATGTTTTATAAAAATTTACATCAAAATATATATCATTTCCTTGTAAATATTTGTGAGGATCCGGCTTTAATGTATTAGAAAGTCGTTTTTAAAACAAAGTTTCCATTTTATTTATAATCAAGGTGAAACTTCCAACCAAGTTATAAGTTCTAAGTAAAAAAGAAAAGAAAAACAGAAAAGTTGCATAGAAGAGAAATAGCATGGTGAAGGATGTGGCCAACATATGCAACAGTAGCTCTGGATGAATTTGAAGAGAAAGAGAATCCGATCAGCCTTGAGCTTCCACGTTGAATTTGGATTTCCTCCCAAAAAGACACGTCGACTATCCTTGAGGTGGGTTAAACTTTAACCGCGGCTCTCCAAGACGGTCAAAGACCCGAGGCTCAGAAAGCTGCGTCACACCCTTATACCTTCCCTCTCCCTCCTCGCAAAGCGTCAAACTCTCCTTGATACCACTAGTAGGCAATTGCTGCGCGTAAGCCATGCACCCAATTACCCCTCCACACTCTTTCCCTGCGTGTCCTCCTCTCCTCTCTCCATCTGGTCACCTCACCCATCTTCCCCCTCCTTATAAACACCCCTTCTCCCCTCCTTACATACACACATACACTCTTTCTATATTCACCTCTTCACTCACTCACTTTTCTTTCTAATGGCCAACCCTGGGGTGGAAAGATTCCCTGACTTCTTCCAGAGGTGGAATGGGAAGCTTGAGGATATTCTCCAACAGCTTATGCAGGTGTCCAACCAGAGAACCGAGGTGGTCAAGACTCAACAAGAGCTGCAAGCTTTGGTGTCAACAGTCACAACCCATTTGAAGTTATACTACACTACCAAATGGGCTGCTGCACATGGAAACGTTCTGATTTTCTTTTCTCCACCCTGGCTGAACCCTTTGGAGCATGCTCAGCTTTGGTTGTCGGGGTGGAAGCCGTCCACGGTGTTCAGGCAGGTGGAGAATCTGAAGAACAGGAATGTTTTGGTGTTGACGGAGGAGCAGAATAAGAAGATAGAGGAGCTGAAGATGAGGGTAAAGATGGAGGAGGAGAAGGTGGAGAGGGAGATGGAGAGGCAGCAGGTGGCCATGGCGGACCGCAAGATGGTGCAGTTGGCCAAAATCACGGGCCGCGCAAGTGCCAATGGTTCGGCGGATGCTGTTGCCGAAGTGGCAGTGAAGGAGGTTTTTGAAGGGTTGGAGACGGTCATGAAGGCTTCCGATTGCGTGAGGCTCAAGACACTCAAAGGGGTGTTGGATTTGCTTAGTCCAATGCAGAGTGTGGACTTCCTGGCGGCGAATATAACTACGCAGCTGCGATTCAGGCACTGGGGGGCGAAGAAGAAGGACACCGCTGGGGCCGTGCCCAGTGTGAATCAAGACAAGTGAAGTGTTATCCATGGAACTAGCTAGCCGAAGAAAGAATAAGACTAAAGTGGGTATCTCCTTTAGGGTCGGTTAGTTAGGTAATTTCCTCATCGTTGAAACAAAAAAATGTTGTTGTTTAGTTTGTGCTTGCTAGTACTCTTGTACTTGCAGCAAAGTTGTTTTCTTTTCTTTTCAATGTTGTAAGAAAAAGGAGGAGAAATGATTGATGAATATATATCATTATATTATTTCTGTTCCAAAAAACAGAAAATATGGTTGCTGTTTATACGTTTTTTTTTTCTTTTTTATAATTAATAATTGATAATTAAACAGAATCTCAGATGAAAGACATCCTTAGAGAACTCATAATGGACTGTGCCTCTTAAGAATGTGGTACGAAAAGGCAAAGTCAACCGCAACACAGCACCTGCTTAGGTTGTCACATGGTAGCGTAGTGATGCGTAGGATGGTTAGTGCTGAAGATGTGAGAGAGGAGTTCAAGGGAGAGAGTGGTAGAGGCATTTTTTTATTACATTTGTTTGCGTTGTGAAATGTCGGTGGGTGCATGAGCAGCACAACAAACGGAAATGGCTTGAGCGGCGGTGCAAGGTGGTGCGTGACTGAGGAGCCACGGCTAGCTACGCAAACATAAACATTCTGAAACAGGATAGAACAAAACAAAGTGTTCTTCAGTTTCTACACTAAAAATAAGTCCCTGTAATGCTTACTCTTACCTTCACGAGAAACTGACGTTGAAAACAGCATCCCGAGAAAGTGACGTCTCGGCTTGATGTCACCAAACCTTTTATTACATTTTTTCGAAATAAAAAATATTTATTTTAAGAATTTTTTTACATAGTCATTCTTAATTGGTCCCTTTTAACAACTTTTTAACAATAGATTATGTGTTATTATTTTATTGTTTCATATAAGTGTTATTATTTTATTGATTCGTATATTTAAAACGAATAAATCACGAACTATATATTGTAAAAAAACAAGTTCAACAAATCATGAAAGAGAAAACTGATCAAGAGAGAGAAAAAGTTGGACAACATAAGAGAGAAGAGAAAAAATACGGTCACTATCAGCATGGATTTAACGCAACTTAACGGATATGATGTTATTCGTACACTTTTCATAACATAACAAATGGACTCAATGTCTTCATTTTCAAAACCAGGTAATAAACAGAAATTCACCTTTTAACATGAAAACGAAGTAAACATTCAAGCCAAAATATTATTAAAAAAACATTTTCTACTTTAAATATATAAATCAATAAAATAATAACATATAATTTACTGTGAAAAAATTATTAAAAAAATTATTAACAAGCCTTAGTAGGAAAACAAAGGTTATGTTGAAGTGCATGACAAATCTAAATGGTTAGATATGTTATTTTTCACATAGAAGATTGGGATTTTTTGTTTTCTTTTTCTCTATCGTTTCGCAACCATTCTGGCTACGGTAGAAGATTTCGATTTTTCTTTTTCACTTTTCTCAATTCTTTTACCCCCAAATAATATATTAAAGTTATAAAATGTATCTATTAAAATACATATAATATATCAGGAAATTTATGCATTGTTTGGAATAGATAAATTTGTAGCTATATATAGGGTTTGATTTGAGAGATTTATAAAAATTGTGTGTATTTGATTATTTTGTAATGATCTACAACGAAAGTTTAAAATAAAGATTGAATATGAAACCTCAAGAAAGGAGTAGGTTTGTGTTAGTTATCTGATAAATTACCAATTTTTCTTTATATCTTATATTTGGTTTTTAAAATATTTTACTTGTTAGATTTTTTAATAATTATTATTTGAAATTAATGATAACATTTTTAAATTATTAATATCTTTTAAGAAATAATTTATTTTCAGTTTTTAACTAATTTTTTTAATTATAAATAATTATATTTAATAAAACAATTTTATCATTACATTAAAAAATAATCTATTAATCTTTATTTCTTTAATCAAATAAATAGTTTATACTAACAATTTTTCATTTAAATTAAATATCTTTCAATTTAATTAAATTACTTCACTTAGTAACGTGAAATGTGATAATCATGCTACTGATTTATTGATAATTTTTATTACAAACCACTAATCATTATGTTGAAAATTTAAGGGTGATTTTAAATCCCACATTATATAAAATAAAAATTTAAGGGTAACTTTAAATTCCACCTTATATAGAAATAACCTTATATAGAAATAAGAAAGTGAAACATCACACCTAAAGACCAAAACTTATTAATTTATTGTTTTTAAGATTAATTAGAAAGTGGTGTGTTTGTGATTGAATTCAAATTTGATTAATGTTAGTCTTTTTTTTAAGCTTAACATGTTCTTTTAAACCTAATAAGTGGATTAGGTTTAAATAAGTATAATAGATTCATATTTTATTGGTGTATATAGTGAATATTTATTTTTTTAAATTTAGTTTTTACTTCTTGTCGAATAGGAATATATAAAAATTATAATATTCGGATTGATATATAAATGTAATAGTGTAAAAACTTGAAGGATTAAAAGTGACATATAAGTGTTGTTGAGAGTTAGAGAGAAACGTGAGTCATAGGAACACGTGTTATTGAATTAGAAGTAGTTTATGTGGAGTAGCTTGCAGGGAGTGAGGAAGATTGAGGATTATTATGTTCATTTTGCAGATATACCATCTTCATACAACAAACAACAACGTTTGCTGATTGTCACTGTTCATGGATAAAGGTGAGCTTGTTGTTGAAAAGAAAATTATATGTTAACATATACTTTTTATCATTACACTTATTACTTTTTATTAGATTTGAAGTATGTTAATACAATAATAAGTAAATAATAAATCAGGAAAAAAATATGTAAATTATGTTAAAAAAAATTATATTAAAATATATATATATATATATATATTTTTTTTTTTTTATAAAAATGAGTATATCTTATATCTAGGTGTAGAGTAGTGAGTAGATGTACACTGAGTGTGTGTATTGTACAGTAAGTGTTTCATTAACAAATTTGGCCTTTTCATGTGATTTTTACTTTTTATCTTACACAGTTTATTTTTATTAACAATTTTGATCTTTTGGCATTATAATTTTTATCTTACATACTTCTTATCTTTGTTCTTTTATTATTACAAAATTTATATATTGTAATAAAAGTAATGATAGACATCTCTTGATTTTATCATACATCCTATAAATCTATCAATTTTATTTTCTGTGTAAATGTATAGTATAAGAGATTGCTAACTTTTTTGGTGAATATGGATAATTTTTTTATAATAATTAGCACAAGATCATGTACGTTTTCTGAATAAACATTAATATATAAACTTGTATGTTCATTGGGGGCTACTATGCCAACACATATTGGAAGTTTTACACCTTACATTAACTCCTTCAACAAAAATACAATCTATTATACCTTTCTTGCAAAACAACATAATACAGTTTCCTTTGGACATAAGTATCTAAGGTGTTAATGATGAAGACTTAGAAAAGAACAAGAACGATGTGAAGGAAGTAAAAAATTGTTTGAGTAGATATCTTAACTTTCCACTCTGGTTGGTGATGGAGGTCAAAGAGAGAGACTTGAAGCACATAAAAGAGAGTAAAATGAAACTTAAGTCGTCTCCACTGACAGGATCTCCAATTCAGCCCACCAGAGTGGAGAAAGTCTTGGGACCACTTGCTCAGGTGACAAACCAAGCACTTCCCTTAATTTGGAAGTCACGTCCCTCATTGTTGGTCTTGACTTTACATCAGGTTTGATACAGTCTTGGATCACATCACAAATGCAATGAAGTTCGTTCTCCTTGAAACATTCGAGGCTGGGATCCACCAAATCTTTGAGGTTTGTTTTCTCGTTTATGTACTTAGCAGCCTATAATATTTATCACAATGCATCAATATTAACAATGTTACAGTTTAAACTGTTAGCAGACATATCAATTTCCAAACTTACCCAGTCCACTAGGTTGCCATGTTCTTCCGAGTAAGGTAATTTCCCTGAGATGATTTCCAGCAATAACTCTCCAAATTTGTAAACGTTGGTTTCAATATTCTTGTCGGATGGCCCATCATCAGATTTATTTGAATCACCCAAGCTCTCTGGTGACACAATATGTCTAAAAGTAACCTCTGCAATCTGAATGAACAATGGAATGGAGAACTGTTACTTGGATGTTAGCGTGTAATGAAAACAAACAAAAGAAGTGAAGATCATGTCTTTGCACCTTAGCAGAAAAATCATCTGTTAAAAATATCATATTTGAAGCTAGCTTGCTCTGTGCCATAGGCGGATTTAAGTCATGGTGCATGTATTGAAGGCAATACGCAACCCCCATGATAATCTTTACCCTTGCACTCCAATCAATACGTTCCAAATGCGAAACTAAAAATAACAACACATAAAACATACATAACTTTTAGTTGTAACAACACGGATGAAATCCATTTTTCTCTAGCAAAACTAAAACAAATAGTTGTACCATGTAAATGCTCAAATAAGTTTCCATTTGGAGCATACTCAAACACCAACATCCTAGTGAATGGTTCTTCTTCTTCGCAGTAGCCGATAAGATTAATAAAGTTCTTATGATTTATGCGAGACAAATTATCAATCTGGAGCACATAAGAAAAAAATAGCAAAAAAATGAAAACTAAATTCCTCTTAACGTTGCAATGGAATTGTTAATGCAACCCATTTATTTTTATGGACTCGATAAGTAGAAAACCTTTTTGCGGTATCTTATCTCCATGCTCTTTGACCAATTCTTAGAAGAAGTAATTAGAGTAGAAACTACAGCAATCTCAACTCCACTAGACAATGTTCCTTTGTAGATGGTGCACTCGGCATAAGAATCAATAACAATATTGCTAAAATCTTCACAGGCTGTCTCTAATTCTGCTCTATTCAACTTGGGAACCCCTACATTTCATGACAAGACATTACAATGTTGTCAGTCCTTGATTGAACTAATAACTCACTTAAGAAAGTTCAATTTTTTTTTTTATGGAAAAAAACTTCATACGGCATAATACAAATTGCTACTTTTTAAATCATGAAGGTTATGATATACAAAAGAAGAAGAAGGTAATTATTCAAGTAAGAGTTATACTTTGAATTAAAAAGAAAAAAACTATTTACCTGTTATAAATGCTTTCCGCAACTGTCCACTTATTCCTGTCTTCCAGGGGCCTATTACTTTTGCGGCTCGTTTTCGCATAATGTATAAAAGAATTATGATAATAATAGCCAGCAGAAGAAGAATAATAATTATCCACTTCCAGATAGAAGCACCATTATTTACATGTTGACTTTCTTGATTTCCATCGGAAGCATCTTGTGATTGATTTTCATCAGAAGCATCGTCAGGAGCATTAGGATCTGAGGATGCAGGCTGATTTTGTTTCTCAGTGGCATCTGGAACAGCAGGAATAGCTCCAGTACTGAAGGTAGTTGGAGCAGTGCTAAACTCTATTGGTGTTTTGTCATCGAAAGGTACAGCTGCAAGGTTATTACCACTAGACTGAAGTAACTTACGACGTGTAGAACTAACAATTTCTGGTACATTTTGGGCTATCTTTGGCACATCAGAACCTACATTGTCCGAGACATACTTTGAATGTCAATAAGGAGCATTTTCAAATTCTTAACATTGGCATAAATTTGGAAGGTTCTCCACTCACTGGGCAGAATGTCACAATAATCTTTTTCATTGCCATGAGAGCTAGTCTTCCCTAGTTTGAATCTACAAAGAAAAGAAAAATATTTAATTAGTGAGTCGAACATGATAACAGAACAAAAGGTGTGTTTACTAAGGTTAAGATGTTGCCATAAGTTATCTACGTACAGTGGCCAAGCAAAGGCATTGGCGAATTTCTTAAGTTTTGCTTTGGTTAGAATAATCAATGAATCTGATTTGTACCATTGGTTGAAGTTACGTTGCCACACACTGCATGTCATCCATAAAAAACATAGAGTTATAAATTAAAACCATCTACAGAATTTCTTAACGAACAAAATTTAAGTAATTGGGACTCATGTTACTCGGTTAAATGAGAATGTAAAAATTTTTGGTTCTACAAAAGGACAAGATTTAAAAGAGAGAAGAACACTTGTTGTCTCTCATTGACTGCTCTAGATTATTGATACAGATGGAAGGAAAACATGCAATGAAACTACTAAGGCCACTGGTTAGAAAAAAAAAAAAACATCTTGGAGAAATGCTTGCCAGTGTCCAAATTTCCTATTGATGCAGGAAAATAAAGTTGTCAGATGTGATGAACAACTTTCAACAAGTAGAGATTTCGAAGGAAATTTGAATTTTCCCCAATCTTCACCATCGCCTTCGATTTTATTGTCACAAAGCAACCTAGGGTAAAATAAATATTCATTGAAGAATACTATAAACCTAATAAAATATGTACACAAAATAGAGAATTAACTTACAAGTGTTTTAATAACGACATGTTGCCAATTTCTGCTGGGATGTTTCCTGACAAATTATTTTCCCTTAAATCTAATAACTCTAGCTTGGGTAAATCTCCAAGTTCTTTGGGAATGGCACCAGAAAAGTTATTCTTGCATAATACACTATTTTAAAGGAACAAAGTAAGCTTATCCGTATCAGAAAGATAATAAAATGAAAAGTTAGACATATTTTATTAGGTAATCAACATCAAAATGAAGTGAAATCAAGTAAGGAATTAAACTATAATCAAATAGAAATGCTTTACAATAATGTCATTAAAAACAAAGTAACCTTGTAGGCCTTCATTTTGATTTAAAAGATTTAAATTATTGCCTTTTAATTAAATTTTGGCTTGTTTGATGAGATAAAAGATGCTATGTGCAAGTTTGAAAAACGACATCACCTATAGAAGATTGAAGAGGACAAATACAAAACAATTATAACCAATCTTCGCCAACCCAATGCGTAAAATTATTGCACTACAAAAGGCATCTATGTTTTGACATTAAGAAATAAGAAGACAAAACCTGATCAAGGATTGGGAAAATGATACAAACACTTTAATAAGATAGATTAGGATAAAACACAGTAAACACTAGCAGGTATCGAACATTTGGTGATTATAACTCAGTGGATCATGCAAAACTCATCCTTTCATCATCTTGTCAATACTAATGGTAACTTGTATTATAAAATAGCTATTCACCAGCAAAAAAGATCAACTTTTAGTTAATGTAAATAGATTCCGGTTGCAAAGAATATTAAATCTTTTCGAAAGTGTAACAGAGTCAAACGTAATAACTTTTGTTTAAATAAGAAGATTTATTGGACACCTGATGAAAAAGGAAAAGAACATACCAAGAGTTACGGTAAAAAAAAAATACATTAGAGAGATTGTGAAGATCCATTACATAGAATTTAGATGATTAAGTCTGCCAAGCTCAGGAGCCAACGTCCCTTCCAATGATAACCCTTTTAAGTCCCTATAAAAATAGAAAGGCATAAATTTCAAAACAAAATTATGCAGCACATTGACTTAATAGAGTTTTGATTTATTTAACACGGGGCAATAAGAAAATATTTGCAGATAAAAATGAGAAAAATGGACTATTACAATAATTGAAAGGAAATGAAAAGGAATAACTTACAATACTTGCACTTTACCATCTACACAATGAACACCCAACCACCCGCAAGGGTCACAATCATTGGGATTCCAATTCACCAAAGCATTAAAGGGATCACTGGTTATTCTCGCTTGAAACGCTAACAAAGCCAGTCCTGAATTTTCCATTCGCAATAAAACCAACAAAACAGAATCAAGATACGAGGAAAGACACGCTTTTGTACAGAATGAAAACTTGAAAAGAACAATTCAAGAAAAAACCTTCATCGTTAACGGACCAACAATCTCGGATTCCCCACAGTGAGAACAAGAAAATATAAATTCTTAGACAAAATCCAAATGTGTTCCATCTTAGTTCCATTTCTTGGTGAAGCCGATGCCAAAATCTGATTAAGGTAGTATCTATATTCCTCGGTAGCCAGGACGCTATATTATATAATATCCAAAATTTCCAGGTATTTTATGCAGAGAAACCCTTCGATCTGCAAGGATTGGGATGAAGCAAAAGAAACTCACTAACTAGGGAAAGTTTTACGTTAAGGTGAAGTCATGAAAAACTAAGGTTTGGGTCTGAATATCAGATCAGGATCTCTCATTTCTTTTGTGATGCTATCTCTTTGTTACAAGTCTCTTCTCCACATAATACATAACCCGCTTAACTCAATATCTCTGGGTGGAGCTGAAAGAAATTTTATCAAAATAGAATGTTCAGAATTTCAAAAAGATTAAAAAAATAGGAATTATACCACTAGCAAGCGAACTTTTCTGGGGTTATCGAACAATAAAATATAAAGAAAAAGGTAGCATTAATGAAGCATTAACAGAGAAAGCGAATTACCATGCAAAAGAGACAAAAAGGTGCAAGAAAAGAACACTCCTTCTTGCGATAATTTTGTTGTGCATAAGAAGGAAATATAATGTTGGTTGAGAAGGGGTGACAGGTAGGGGCAAATTGAGACACAGATAAAAAGGCAGCAAAAGTTCAAAACAAATTAAAATTTGAAGTTCTTATTGTGTTTTCCTCTTTTTTCTTTTTTTTTTCTTCTATTGTTCTTCTATTGCTGCCTTTTCCGGATGATCTCAGAGGACCCTCTCTTCGACCATCTTCTTAGTTGAGACGCTTTTTTCCTTTCTCTCTCTTCTCTCGATTTCAGAATTTTTCTTTTTTTCTGTCTCGTTTCTTAGTTTCTCTCTCTTTCACCTCTGATCCCTCTCTCATCATCCCCACCACCAACCTCCCATCCAAATTTTCTTCTTTCTCCAAATTATTATTGTTTTTCTTATCATTATATTATATTCTTATTATTAATATTTCGATGTTTCTAAAATTATCTTTGAGGAGCTTTAGGTCCTGTTGGCTCCCACATCGAATAAAATAGGATACGGTTTTATTTTGTTACTAGACAGGTCCGTGAAGGTTGACATGTCTCAACACCTGTTATAAAATAAAATCTCAACTTCCAACTGTTTTTTTATTTCAAATATATGTGTAGTTTCTTCATTTTATACTTTGTTATGTCTCTGTTTGTATGGCATAAATGTGTTAATTGAGTGGATAATTGTCAACATATATGCATTCACAATATCACAACTAAATCATAATAGTCATTTTTAATTTTTAAATACATAATATAATTATTTTCAAAATAAAATATTTTACTTTATATAATTAAAACTCTTTTAAAGAGTTTTTAGTATAATAACTATAATTAAAGTTTATATTATGGATACAATTTACGAAAAATTATAGCTATTAATATAGATTAATAAAAAATATCTTTTTTTTATTTCATGACAAAGTATTTTTTATTGTTATGGAAGTTGATGGAGTAAAATTTGATTTTTATAAAATTTTTGAAACGGAAATGATTGATTAAAGAATTATCATTATTAAATATATGATTATTGAATTATCCACTAATAATTACTTATTTTTGTGTGTGAGAAATTCTGCATATCTAAATAATCGATTGTTAGTCCTAATATTCAATTATACGTGAATTTATAACTTTTAGTAAAGTTTAAGATACATACAATAATAAATATATTATTTTACAATTAATTGGATTGTTTATTATTTAAAAAATTTATAATTTTTAAACCATTTGTTGTAAGGATAAGAGATCAATAGAAAAGTAACTAGTATCTCTATTATAATAATTATAATAATGCATGACCCAGGTTTATGTAATTCAGAATAATTAACTTTACAAGATCTATTGATATTGATATGATCATAGAAAACACAATAAATAAAATTTGACTAATCAGTTTAACACGTAGTTTAATACATGCACAATTCAATCTAACTAAACTTAAACTAACTTCTCAAACTAACTTCTCAAAATAACTTTGTAGAAGTATAAATTCATGATTTAAGAATCTAAACTTAAAAGTATTATTCTTATTCTGGCATAAATATAAATATAGGTGTTATCGTTTTTCTCTGTATTTTTAAATATTTGTATTTTATTATAAGTAATAACTTAATAATATATGCAAATTAGTTAAGGTAATATATAAGAGGAAAATAATGAAAATAAGAAAAAGTAATTGAATATTAAATGTAAAAACTATAAATATAATAAAAATATATAAAAAGAAAAAATCAAATAAAAATTACAATTTTATATAAAATATTTCAAAGTGGTTATTTAAAAAAAAATAGTTAAAAAATATATTTTAAAAGAAATCAGTTAATAATTATATTATAAAAGATAAAATAAGAATACAAATTATATAAAAAAAATATTTATATATATATATATATATATATATATATATATATANATATATATATATATATATATAGATTCTATCAAATAATACTTGGATTAAATTAATTATTACTACGGAATTCTCAAGCAACTAAAATGTGGAGAAAATACAGTTAGGAACACATGTCTTTCTTGTGTCCTAAAACAAATCTCACCATAAGGATTTACACTGAGAATTGTAACATCTGAAAAGGTTACTTGCACGACCCAAGATAAAATATAAAGTAACAGTGGCATTGGTTAGTGGTATTTTTCTATCCTCATTCATTATTGCAGTCCAGTACATAGTCATTCGCTTATTTCTGCTGTGTTCATGAACCTGCCTCATTAAATGACCAAACATGTTCAGTTCATGAACCAAAATCTTAAACACTGCCAAAAATCATTTTCGATACTACTGTAAGTGACAAGAATCTAATGTCACTCTTTCTTACCATTATTGGGATATTTTCTTTTACAAGTATTTTATTACAAAACTTTCAATACATCTTTAAAAGATAAAGTAACAGGCGCACTTATTATTTCAGAATATAAGCAATTAAAGATAATGCAGGATATGTCCCCAATTTGTACCATACAATAACCTTCAAATGGAAAACAATGCACACATAATGAGATATGTTTACCAATTATTTAGTTTTAGCCTTCAATGAGTTTTTTTTTTAATCTAAGTTGACCCTAATTTTAAAAAAAAGGGATATCGTATCAAACTAATTACTTATAAAAATGATCTCAACACCATTTTTAAAGTGATATATCAATTATAGTATTGTATTTTTTAGTTTTTCTTTCACTCGCACTCTATTATATTACTGTCCCCAGTTTTACTTTTTTTTTCTTGTTTAGATGTTTTATGAGATTCAATCTAAATATAATCTTGAAAGTATAAGAAAAATGCTATCATGAAATTATTTAAAATTTGTCCCATCTAAGTACTCAACTAAAACTTTTTAACTAGTTTTTATAATATATTTTATGTGTCAAATGTTAATAATAATAAATATGATAGATAAAACATAAATTCTTTCCTCTCTTTTTTCTAAATGTTAAATCATCAAGAGATACTAGAAATGATATATATTAGAAAAAATGCCTACCATTTAAATAAGAAATAAATTAACAAGTTGGATGTAAATCTCACAAAAATGAACTATTGTGTAAGACACATTAATTATTTTTTTTTTACATTATAACTGGGGCTAAATTTATTTTAATCCAAAGCAACCACTCATTCACTGTATACATATTATATTTCATCAAGTGAACCACTTATAATTTGTTTATCAATGACCCGTTAATGAAAACATTAGGATTTATGAATAATTTGCATTGAAAAAACTTGTTTCTATAAAATAAGTAGGATTTCTATAAAATTTATTTATAGATTAAACAAAATATAACAAAAGAAAAAGATGTAAAAAATAAAATAAAAAGGATGATAACTCTTTTTTTTCAAATTATAACAAAATAAAATAAAATAAATTTGTTCAATAGTTTTGACACTCAAATTAAATAATTTTGGAAGGCCGTGCAAAGCAGTGTACCATACAATGTTTCCAATGCTGACTAAAGTGATGGTTCAATTTGCAAAACCTGATTTCAAAATCGTCATTTTTAACTTCCAACATGATCCAGTTATTGGAGTTAGACACTGTACAGACAAATTTTCTATTTTTCTTTTATAAGGGCATCTTATATTGTTTCTAATGTCTTGCTAGTATTTTCTACAAATCAAATCCAAGATAAGAAATTATTCTAATTTAAAACCTACTTCTTTACTTATCTTCAATGGTAGGGTTTGCAAATTATTTCCTACAATTCACTGTTCATTATTAATAAATACCAGTGAAAACACGTGTTACTTAATAAAAATAAACATGAAAAAAAATGTGTATACTAAAATGATTTTTTTCCCCTATAATATGTATGTTTGAGCTAATAACATGAGAAATAAAGGGTACAGCAAAAAATTACATTTCTAATAAGATCAATTTATTATATTCCTTAATTTCCGTGGATAAAAGAATTATGACACAGAAATAGAAGTTATTTTTTATTGAAAAGTGAAATAATACACTCTTTCATTAATTTTAATGCATCTAGTAATAAAATCAATAATACCTGTTAAAAAATAAAATATCCTAAAAAAAATACATCTTCTTTAACATCTTTTACAAAAAAGGTTAACCGCTATCAATAAACAATTAAATGAATAATTTTTATATGAAATATTATCAATATATTCCTATTGTGATTTTCGATTTAGTCTCACCTTAATTTTACACTATTATATTTCAAATAATTAGCTGTAAGATTTAAAAAAAGTCATTTTGCTTACAATATTAATAATAACGTTGTTTTTTGCTCTTTCACCTTATATAGTTCTTTCACTTTCTATCATTTTATCTTTTTCCTTGAAAAAAAAGGAAAACCATCAAAACATAGCTGGTGGTATTCTAAAAGCTACATCTGGTTTTGTGCAAGTGTCTTTTGTTGTCTGCTCTGTTCTGTTCTGGTCCCTCTTCAGTGCCCACCCCCATGTTGTCGTCAGGCCGAGGGAGAGCTGTTTCATGTATGACATTCATTCAAACCTTCTTCTCCCATCTCTATTTCCTCATCAAACCCATCTTTCCAAAATGGGTTTTCTCTCTTTCTATGATGTATTGTACCTCTTTACATTCCCCCTTGCACTTCATCACAGGCGTTATATGATATGCTTTGAACTCGTTTTATTCTGATTTTGTGGTAAATTTTTCCCTTGTCAAGGTGCTTGGGAATGGAGTTGAGCTGATCAGTTACGCAAATGTATTTTTGTTGCGTAGAAAGGAAGCTGTTTCTTTTACTTTTTCGATATAAAGTCAAGTGACCAAGTGCCGTTTTGGATCCAAGTTAACATTACATCCACCTCATCTTGCTTCATTAGATTCTTAAAATTCATCAAACACTGCATATTCAGATTGGTTTAGAAACATTGGCTGGCACTTGGTTGCTACATAATGCCAATTGTTCAGAAATTATATGATACTTGCAAGGCATCTTTGTCTCCTGAGGGACCCATCTCAGAAGAAGCTCTCGAAAAAGTTCGAGCCCTTTTAGGTACAATGACTATCTACCCTAGATAATGTTCCACTATAATTTTCTGTGAAATGTATAATGCAGCGCCTGATTTTAGATGCTTGTTAAATTGCTATCTGTTTCACAGTGAAGGGTGTGTCCTTGTTTAATCTTTATCGTTAATTTCACTTCCATGCCAGATGACTTGAAGCCTTCTAATGTGGGTCTTGAACAAGAGGCACAACTGGTGCGTGGATGGAAAGGTTCTTTGAATGGTACTAATGGCAAAAAGGGCCGTAACGTTAGTTATCCGTATCCACCTCCTATCAAGTACATCCACTTGCATGAATGTGACAAATTCTCTGTAAGCTTTTTATTTAGATCTTTTGACAGTCTTCTTATTAATCTGTTTGGAGTCTTCCTTTCTGAATTTA